TCAGTATACAATATCTCCAATTCCCTTTGCAAACCTGTCGGTGCCATCACTGTATAGACAGGCAATCCTTTATCAAACAATTGAATGTCTAATACTTGTCTAAATACAGTGATATCAGTGCCATTCATGCGAGTGGGTGCTAGTATATACTAGTGAGATACTGTACCCAAAACTACCAGTGCTATTGTGTAGGGATTAGTAACTATAATAAGATAGCGTAAAGTAATAGCTCACAAAATAAAATGAAAAACAAAATGCACTTAAAAACACAGAATTTTTACATTTCACATTTTAGTTTAAGATTATTTTTTGTGTTTCAATACAATTAGTTTTAGGGAATTTATTTAACTGTAAATAAAAAGCTTTTTGCCTCACATACTTAAATGATCGGGGAACTATTGAGGCACATAATTTATAAGCCTGCATAAAAGAGTACAAACTATTTCTAAAGTGTTTTATAGGTTTAGGAATTATTTTTTGTTAAGTATATAATTTAGTACACTTATTTTTGTAAATGTTTGTTGCCTTGTTATTTTTGCTAATCTTTTTTAACAATAAAAACCGGATTATAATATAATCAGACGTTAAACACTGTACGTTATATAGGGTACTTGCAATTTTTGTATTGTTTGTAAATTGCAAGTAATAAAATAAACTACAAAATCTTTGGTGTGTAAATACTGTGTATATTTTTAATATAACTATTAGTTTATTAATTTTATATTTAAACAAAATATGATTTTAATGTCTTATTAAAATTATAAATTTCTTTTTGTAGTAATTATAAAACATTTAGTAAGCTTGAACAAATATTTTAATATTTCAAATTAATTTGTTTAGTAATTATTCTAACAGTAAGCCTACTAGTAATAATAATAAATAAATATCATGAAGTGTATTGTTGTAATAATATATTGTTTTTTACCAGGCATAATTTAACTATAAATATAATTATTTAAAATATATTTAAACTTAATATTTTTGTAATCTACCTTTTGTTTCTAAATTTATTTTAAAATTGTATATCCTTTATTTATCAACTAAACTGAATTCTTATTTATTTAATTAGTTTAAACCTAGATACTCGCACAGTGTACATAATTTATTGGACTCTTATCGCCTTAAATATATACAATAGTGTGTATGTGTTTGAGATAAATATGTAAATATATTTTGCCCTCATCAATTCTTTGCTATTTTTTCCGAGAAATTAAGTAAAAATATTCAAATTTAATGATAGCCTCGCCTTTCACTACAAAATAAAATCTTATTTCATGACAAAATTGAAATTTTATGAAAATTTTTTATTTACAGAATATTCCCGTCAAAAGGCTATTGTGTTTAAAGTTAAGCAAAATATTCCGTACTTTAAATGCAAAAAATATTCTGTATGTGAAACAAAACATAGCAAAATTATATTTCACAATAAATTTAGCTTAAAATGTTTTTCAATTTTTGTTTTCTACACACATAAAAGTTTTGAATTATATTTTTACGCAGGATTTTTTGAAAAAAAAACAAATTTCCGTGTTAAGTGGGTACTTTAATGATTGTTTAAATGTAAGTGTTTATTGAATATATCTACATAGGTATTGCTATTAATGGGCATACATTGTACACGATACTATATTTATCAAATTTTGATTTATTGCCCATTAATGCAAATATCGTGTGTAACCGTTTTGCTTATCACACGGAATATTCTGTGTGTTTGTAAAGAATATTTAAAATTAATCTCAAAAAAATTTATCTAAACCTAACTTTAAAGAATATTCTCTTGAAAACTTTTCTACTCAAGTGATAGTAATTATATATTTTTAACGACAATAACATGTTTATCCATAATCCCTCAGACTTGTATAAATCATGTGTATTATAAACAACTGTCCACTTATGCGACTAATTAATCGTATGATATGGGGTTTAACACACATTAATTCTCATTATTATTATTAGTATAGAGAATATTCTTGAGGAATATTCTGTAGTATTTAATTAGCGCATTAATCTCTTAATGAAAATTTTTAAACACCGATTCTGTGTGTATGTGTGTTAGCCAGCTCCTCATGTGTATAATTAATGCCTTTTATTATATTATACTAAAACACTCGAGAATTATCACGAACTATGTTTATAGCGTAGTGATTTATGATATTTATTATACAGAATATTCTATGTATATAAATATTAGTCGATTATTTTATGGCCACTTTAAGCATCATAATTATTATTGGTTTTTTGGCCTCAAATACGTAGAATATTCTATATTTAGTGAATATTTTATAATAATATGTCATATAAATTATGGGTTAATGTTTTTAAATAATATTCCCATTTTCCAAGTTTTAATATCTTATAGAGTATACTCGATGAAAAATTGTCAATGATATACAAGTATAATCAGAATATTCTGTGTGTTGTATATATATATATATATAACTTTTTAGTGAAAGCATATGGTCTCCCACTTTATAGCCTATAGCGTAAAGTTACATCAAGTTTTTCATATCAAATGTCAAATACCATAAGTAGACATACTTAACCCCATACACAAAAAATAAAATGTATTAAATATATTTTTAGGGGTAATAAAAAGTGAGAGTCTAATAAAATTACATATTTCATACAAATAATGTTTATGTATGTGTGTGGAGTGTATTTGACAAATAGTTTTGCCTTTTATTATTTTTATATAAAAACACTTATATTTATAAAAATATATTCATTTGTTTAGTTTGTTTAACAATAATATTTGCAGTAATAAACGAGAGAGAGAGAGAGAGAGAGAGAGA